AGAATAAGGAACTTGTGCCATGTACCTCTCTTCTTCCTCTAACTACGGGGACTGAGCAGCTGATAACTTAAAATGAGTAGCAAGAGGGGTACTAACTAGTTTAGCATCTTTCATACCAAACCTCTCCAAGACTTTTTCAAGTACTTCTTCTGGATCAGAAATAACGTGTTGGCTTTTCGATCTCTTTTGATCTCCATGCCAAGGATTTTCTTAGCTGCTCCTAAATATTTCATCTCAAATTCACTTTTCAGCTGACTTTTCAAATTGTGAATTTCTGTTAAATCCTTAGCAGCAATGAACATGTCATTAACATATAATAATAGGCACACAAATGAACCATCGTTTAACTTCCGGAAGTAAACACAAATATCATACATGCTCCTCGAATAACCATGACCGAACATAAATAAATCAAACCTTTTATACCATTATCTTGGAAACTGCTTTAATCCGTACAAGGATTTCTTCAACAAGCAAACATGATCTTCCTTTTCTTCAATTTCAAATCCTTCGGGTTGATGCATGTATATTTGTTCTTCAAGTTCGCCATGTAAGAAAGTTGTCTTAACATCAAGTTGTTCTAATTCCAAATCATTCATGGAAACGAAGGCAAGCAAGACATGAATAGAGCTATGTTTAACAACAAGTGAGAAAATTTCATTAAAATCAACTCCTTGTACCTGACTATAACCCTTTGCAACTAATCGTGCCATATACCTCGCATATTCAACCCCTGGAATGCCATCCTTTTTCTTGAAGACCCATTTGCAACCAACAATTTTTTTTCTTGATTGCGGCTTCACAAGAGACCAAGTACCATTCTTGTGGAGAGACTCAATTTCTTCATTCATAGCAATCAACCACTTGGCTAAGTCAGCATCAGAAACTGCTTCTGAATATTTTGATGGTTCTCCAATTTCTTCAGTTTCCTGTGCAACTAAAAAAGCAAATGCAACATAATATCTAAACCTTAATGGATGTTTACCTTCTCTTCTTGGTCTATGTTTGGTTATAAAATACTTCTTTTCTTCTGGTTCAACTTCAGGAGTCTCAACTTCAGGAATTTCAGCTTCTGGCTCAACTTCAGGAGTTTCAACTGCATTTTGCTCCAAAGTTGATGAGCTTGGCTTAGATAGAATGCTAATCTCAACCTCCTCCTGCTTCTATGTACTCTTTCCTTTATCTGTATTACAAGAACTAGAAGACTCTTTTCTAGAATGTAACATCGAGGATTCGTCAAAGGTTACATCTCTGCTAATTATAAATTTTGGTGTCATGGGATCAGGATACCATAGTCGGTATCCTTTCACCCCAGATGCATACCCAAAGAAAATGCACTTTTTAACCCTTGGCTCTAATTTTCCACTATTTACATGCATATATGCAGGGCAACCAAATATCTTTAAATCAGAATAATTAGCAGGAGTACCTGACCACATTTCCTCTGGAGTCTTAAAGTTCAAAGGTGCAGAAGGAGCTCGGTTGACAATATAACAAGCTGTAGAGATAGCTTCTGCCCAAAAGGCGTTTGTCAACCCAGTATTTGAAATCATACAACGAGCCCTTTCCAAAAGAGTTCTATTCATCCTTTCTGCCACACCATTTTACTGAGCTGTCATTCTCACAGTACGATGTCGAGCAATTCCTTCATTCTTGCAAAATTCGTTGAATTCATCATTACAAAATTCCAAGCCATTATCTGTTCTAAGCCGCTTAACCTGTTTCCTGTTTGTTTCTCAATCAAAACTTTCCATTGTTTGAAATTTAAGAAAATATCACTTTTATTGTTCAGGAAATAAACCCAAACTTTTCTTGAATAATCATCAATAAAAGTTAACATATACCTGGTACCACCTTTTGATGGGGTACGTGAAGGACCCCAAAGATCTGAATGAATGTAATCCAAAGTACCTTTTGTTCTACTAATCGCTGGAGATTTGAAGCTGACTCTTTTCTGCTTCCCGAACACATAATGTTCACAGAACACTATATTTCCGGTACTTTGGCATATAAGAGACCTCTTTTGCTGAGGATGGAAAGACCTTTTTCACTCATATGCCCCAATCGCATATGCCACAATTTGGTGATGTCAGAATCTGATTTATCTGATATTGAAACTGCAGAAGCACCTGTAACAGTAGATCCCAAAAGAGTATACAACGTACCAGATCTGCGTGCTTTCATGATCACAAGAGCACCATGAGAAATTTTCAGAACTCCACCTTCACCTGTGTACNTAAGAGCACCATGATAAATTTTTAGAACTTCACCTTCACCTCTGTACTTGCACCCAAGAGATTCTAGAGTGCCCAAAGAGATGAGATTTTTCTTCAAGTCAGGAATATGGCTAACATCGGTGAGAGTTCTCACCACACCATCGTGCATTTTGATTCGGACTGTACCTTTTTCAATAACTTTGCAGGCAACATTGTTACCCATCAAGTCAACTCCACATCCAATAGATTCATATGTGGTAAATAAATCCCGATTGGGACACATATGATAAGAATAATCCGAATCTAAAATCCACTCATTGTTAGATTTAAAACTATTATTAGTTGCTAAAAAAATAGTTTCCTCAGTCTCATCAGCAGCTACACTTGCTTCGGCAGTGTCAGTATTTTTGTGCTCATTTTTCTTTTCTGTATGCTTTTCTTTGTTTTTTAATTTAAAGCATTCAAAAATAATGTGACCTTTCTTATGACAATATTTGCACATGACATTTCTGAATCTGGATTTTGACCTTGATTGAGGTTTCTCACTACTTGAATCTTTCTTATTGGATCTACCTCTTATGAATAAGCCTTCCCCTTGGTTTCCACTAGTTTCCCCAGTAATATCTCTATATATTTGTTATTTTAATTTCAAAATAGATTTGATATCTTTATAAGAGATATTATCCTTTCCATAATGCATAGTATCTCTTATATGTTTAAACGACTAGGGTAAGAAAACAAGCAATAACACAACTTGATCCTCATCTTTAATTTCAGCATCTATGTTACTTAATTCCATAAGAAGAGAATCAAAAGTATCAAGATGTGTAAGTATAGAGGTACCTTCAGTCATACAAAAAGTGTAGAGTTTTTGCTTAAGGTAAAGCCTGTTTTCTACTGTTCTTTTCATATATAGGGTTTTAAGCTTTTCCCATATACCTTTGGCTGAGCTTTCTGCTGCAACTTCACGCAAAACCTCATTTGAAGGATTTAAAATAATACCTGCTTTTGCCTTTTTATCTATGACGGCAAACTCCTCGTCCGTCATTTTATCTAGCATCTTCTCCTTTCCTTGCAGTGCCAAATCTAAGCCATCCTGAATTAGGATAGCTTCCATCTTTAATTGCCACATTTCGAAGTTTGCGCTTTGGTCAAATTTCTCAACATAAGACTTTGTTAGAGTCATTTTGGCTATTTAAACTAATCCGGTTGACTTGGCTCTGATACCAATTTGTTAGGATCGGTAAACCGGGTAGTGCGGAATTTAGCAAAATAATGTTATAATGACAATAACAAAAACAATGCAAGTTGATAATAACGACAATTAAAGAAGATAAAGAAGACACAAATTTAACGTTGTTCGATCAAGGTGACCTACGTCCACAAGCGGAGAGTAGCAATTTTACTATACCAACAAGAGTACAAAGGAGAGTACAAAATTAGAGTAAATACTCTAATTAGTTCCAAATACCTCAAGAGAATAACCTTACAAGATCATTCCAAAGAAAGGGTTCACACAAGTATTTCCCAACACTCACTCTCTTACAATATACTCTATAATGAAATAAAGGAGGAGAAAGAAAGACAAGAGTGAAAAGCTCTTGAATTGGTGTGTTTACAAATGGGGAGAAACTCCTCTATTTATAGCAAGAAATTCTTGGCCTAATAGTGGATATTATGTCATGGCAAATGTCATGATCCACAAATTTTATTATAGTGGATATTATGTCATGACAAAAGTCATGAAAATTTGGCCCACTTACTATATATAAGCCAAAATTAGGTCAAGGTGGAGATTTGAACTAGAGTATTAGATGATTCTACGTACATGTGGCAGAAACTTTTGTCTAGCTGTTATTCTGAACCTATTTCTTCACTCGTTTTTTGGTTACTGATTAGAAAAATGTTCCAGTTAAAGTTACTTGACAAGTATAAAATTTACTAAGCATTATTAAAGTCCCACATCGAAATTTTAGAATCTGGACGATGTTATTTGTCAGGGCTTATGATTTGTGTTATGTTAATTTCGAAATAATTAATCTGGATGCCTCCACAAACCCGCGGAGGCTCCATTAATTGCGATTAACTTGTTTCATTTGGAAAGCAAAGTTTCATTTTTTATTTTTTTTCCAAATCAAACATATTTATTGCAATATTAACCCTNTACAATCTCAATTGGGCTGGCCCAGGACCCATGTGCACTTTTCTTTTTTCAGCACCCATGTGCAGTTGATTATGGGTTAAGTTCACAAATAGCCATGTTTAGTATTTGTAATTGAAAAATAGCCATTTTCATGGAGTTTCAAATTCCACAAGTAAAAGTCCATGACAAATTCTTGGATTTTCACATGTGGAATTTAAAACTCCATGAAAATGGCTATGTTTCTCTTATAGGGCTGAAAAAGTGGCCAATGGGTGCTATTTCCTTGTCAAATAGCACCACGTGGCCGTTTATGAGGCCTTGTTTGCAGGAGTTGAACCTTTAGACCCGCGGTCTAAATATGAGATTAGACTTAAGTTTAAAATTAGGTGATCATTTTCGAACTTCAGACTATTAAACTAGTTTTAATAAAGTGGCCAACTCTTAAATACAAATGTACACCACTTGCTACTATTCGAGTAAGATGCTTTTATATTGAAGGGGCGCTATTTGTGTAACTCAGCCGTTTCAGTACTTGACGCTCTTTTGAACCGTTATCGGCCCGTCTAAGTTTATTTGCCCAACGGCTAGTTTTCTTGCTCTCATCAACGGCTACTATATTTAGCACTTTTATCATCTCCTTTCATTTTCTCTCACATCACTAACTCTGTCCTTTCTTTTCCGTCAAAATTCCTCGTTGACACTTCGGCTGAGAAGGGCAGTTTCTCCAATTCCCATCTGAAATTTCAGTTCCTTCTTCGGCCAACTTCATCGCTGAAACCACCTCTATACGCTGCATTCAGAATTGTAAGGTCCTTTTATTTTTTACTTTTTCTGCATAACGATTTTCACCATTATCCAAAATCCCTTTTTTGAGTTATTTTATAATGGTTAGAATAGAAATCGTTTTATTGGGTTCGATTTGTTCACAGCTGTTTTGATTTTTACAAAGTTAATGTGCATTTTTGTATGCTATTGATTTGACTGTTGCTTCACAGATGTGATGGCGTGTGGTAAATAATTTTTTTTACTATTCTGTCATAAGAGAAAATAGTAGAGCTGTATTGCTTTTAGTATGAGTTTTCAGTAGTAGAGACGAATTCAAAATTCTTTTAACTGCTCAAATAAAGGGTTTCATTTTCTGATTATCTCAGATCTATTTCTTTGAAATCGATTGATTTTTAGTGACCCTTAAATTAACCAAAGGCTAGTTTATTGAAGCCTGACAGTTAATATCTGGCTGTATTGCCAATATTTTTTGTGTCAAAGGTGGATTATCTGGTATCATTTTTCTATTTTGGGCATTCTGTAATTCATGTAATTTTTCTGTTGTTCATTTTAGTGTTTTGGTCATTAACATCCTAATTTCTCATTAAGATGTATTTGGTATTTTCAGTTTAACTTGTTTACTGAGCAGCAGCATCTATATGCATGGTCACTTGATTTATCTGATTAATGATTACAATTTTATCGGGTAGGAACAAATTGCCACGGTTAAACAGCCGTAATGTCCTCTGTTCAGAGAAGGCAGCAACCTATAGATGTTTCAAAGGAAAATGGAGGCGCCAGAGTACAGCAACAACAAGATGTTATGCAGTCAAGAGGTGGTAAGATGTCCTCGAGGCTCGACACCCCTACAGTGACAGGTGCTGCTAGGATTGTCCCATCTAGATATAGGCAAACTCCTCAGTCCTTACTCCGTTCTAGTTCAACGAGTAATCCTGGATTTGCATCGGTCAGTGCTGCTGCTAAACTGTTACAGGAGGCTATTTCTACTCCTGTAAATCCTTGTTCAGTGTCAAGTGGTGATGGAGCAGTTGTGCATAAAAAGCTCTCCAAAGTTTCAACAGGCAATGATGCTGATGGCTGTGCTGCTGCTGCTGAGAGCAATTCATGCCCGAATTCTCCGGTCTGCACTCAGAGAAAGCAGCAGCAAATTAAATTTTCTAAGGAACATGGCAGCACTAGAGTACATCAACAGCAACTTGCAGATGTTTTGCAATCAAAAAGTAGCAAAACCTCCTCAAGACTTGACACACCTACAGTGACTGGTGCTGCTAGGATTATCCCGTCTAGATATAAGACTCCTCAGTCTTTACACCGTCACTGTCCAACCAATAATTCTGGAGGAACATTGGTCAGTGCCGCTGATAAACTATTGCGGGAGGCTACTGCTACACCTGTGAATCCGTGTACAGTATCTCAGGATGATGGAGCATTAGTCTCCAGAAAGCTTTCAAAAGTTTCGACTTGTCATGATGTCGATTCTGGTGCTGCTGCTACTACTAAGGGAAGTTCATGCCCGAGTTCTCCAGTTTGCACTCAGACTACTAAGGGAAGTTCATGTCCGAGTTCTCCAGTTTGCACCCAGAGCAATAAGACGCGGACATTATCAACGGTGAGGTCTTCTATGCCCGAGGTTGATAGATGTCTTACTGAGAGAAATAGAGACAATAATAGCAGAACATTTGATGATTGCAGTTCTTATAAACCTGCATCTTCTAGTTGCGCTCGTTCACTGCATTTGCCAACTGCTGGCAACGAAAATTCCTCCTCTTGGCTGTCTCTCAAACCAAATGACATGTTTGCTTCCATCCCTTCTAGATCTTCTTTCAAAATGGGGAGCCTTTGCTTGCCTCCACATCCAACATCCAATAAACTGGGACCAGATGCAAGGAAAGGAAGGAAGGGTTTCTGTGATCAAGAAGATGTGCATTCCTTCAAGTTGCTCTATAATCGTTACCTTCAATGGCGATTTGCGAATGCCAGAGCAGAGGCCTCTATGCATTCTCAAAGACAGGACAATGAGGGAAGACTTTATTCTTTTGCACACCAGTTATCTGGTTTACGTGAAGCTGTTCACCGGAAACGCGCTGAACTTGGTTATTTGAAAAGGATCAAAACTTTATCCACTATTCTTGAAGCACAATTACCATGTCTTGAGGAATGGGCTAACCTGGAAGAGGATTACTCAACTTCTCTTTCAGGTACAACTGGTGCCTTGCGCAATTGCTCTCTAAGACTTCCTATCAGCGCGGAAGTTCAGGTTAATACAAGAGAGTTAGGAGAGGCTCTTAATTCATCTACAAAGGTGATGGAAATGATCAGTTTGCAGATTCAGAACTTTATGCAAAAGGCAGAAGAAACAGAAAGTTTAATATCTGAACTAGCTAGAGTGAGTGGTGTAGAGAGAGCTCTTGTTGAGGAATGTGGGGATTTATTGTTGAAGACATATATCTCACAGGTGACAGAATGGAGTTTAAGGGGACAGATGATTCAAATGCATAGAAACAACCTTCATCAAGTTCAGAAAGAGTGAAGATTCTCAAGGGCGCCTTCACCCCTAGGCCAATAAAGCTCTTGCTTTTAGGCCCCAAAAATTATTTTTTATTGGATATAAAAATATGTAATTCAAATAATTATTATTGTTCTTATTAATGATAATGAAAGCTTTTGAAGCACTTGTTGTCAGCTTGTTACCAATCACTAATCACATTTTTTTTGCCTTTGTATCGTTTTTAGGGATTTCATTATGGATGAAAGTGTAGATTCTTGAGAGAACTACATAAATAAGTCACAAGTAGACATGACTTGCCAATAATTAGTCGTTAAGACATATTACAAATCAAAAAAAGTTACCTTATATACAACATTCAAAAAACTAAGCAAAAAATGATTTCCTTTTCAATATGTATGGTTAAAATTTATTGAGACACACGGATGATGCAATATACAAAATTTGAGGAAAATTGAAGGTGATTGGACTGGTTTGGAGTCAAAATTTGTTACCAATGATATAATTAACATTCAAAAAATCTAGGCAAAAAAAAAAGGTTTTTTCTCAATCGCTATGGCTGGGGTTTGTTGAAAATAGATGAGTCAATCTACAAAATTTCAAGAAGATTTAGATATGATTTGGACTGGGTTGTAGTCAAAAACTTCGTAGTTAAATCGAGTTTAAAATTTTTTGAGTGATTTCTAGGTAACACATGGGAGATCTAAATTTCACCAGGATCTCCCACTTTATAAAGAAAATAATCCTAGTAAGAATTAATAAGCATCAATCGCAGATCACTTAGGCGATCATAAATAATACATGAGCAATTTCAAGATAACACAGATAATCTATGATTTCACTAGGATTTTTTTTTACTTTGTTAGAAAAAGATCATGGTAATAACTAATAAGCGATCAATTGGGGTCGGAGATCACTTATGCAATTATAACATGGGGATTTCTAGGTAATACATAGGCGATATACGATTTCGCCATTATTCTTCCACTTTATAAAATAAATGATCCTGATAATAACTAATGAGCGATCAACCCGATATAATTTAGGCGATCATAAATAATACATGAGTGATTTCTAGATAACACATAGGTAATCTATGAGTTCAACATGATTTCCCACTTTATAAAAAACTATCATTGTAATAACTGATGAGCGAGGAACTAGAGATCACCTAGGAAATCACCAGTGTTTTAAAAGGCGTGGACGTAAGGCGAGACGTTTTGCATATGCCTCATCGAGGTGTAAGCCCCGAGGCATGGAGCGTAAGCCCCATAGGTATATAATTTTTAATATTTTATAAAATAATATAATTACAGTAAATATTTATAAACAGGTAAAATTGCATAAAAATTGAAGAAAACTATAAAATAATGTGTGTGCGCGCGCGCTCTGTCCCACAAAAAACTAGTCAAAACAATCTATTATACAGTACTTACAAGCACAAGTAACTTGAGTCTAAAAGAATAAAGTTTTCTACATGCATGGAGGAATAAAAAGGATGACTAACCTGCAATTTGAACTTTGAACTTACTGCTATGAAAGAGAATGGAGTTCTCTTTATATTTGTAAAAACAAATTGAATATTCGTTGCTTTTGGGAGATATTAGCAGACTAGCGGACAAGATAAAGAATTGGAAAAGACCATGAATTAGGACTTCAATCAATAAAAAAAGTTTTGACTTTTAAATTTAATACATTTTAGTTCCTTTTTAAAACTTTTGAGTAATTACCAACCTGATTTTTGAGAATTTAGGCATTATATGAAGGACTTATTCAACAAATTTTGTTTTAATTTGAAAAAGTCTCTAGGGCTTGCGCCTAACTAAAAAACGATCCTCAAACGCCCGGATGTACGCACCGAACGCCCGGGCATACGCTTCTTGAGACTTTCGCCCCGCACCATCGCCTCTGGGCGTTTTTGGTGCGCCTCGCCCAAGGGCTCGCCCCGAAAACGCCTTTTAAAATACTGGTAATCACAAATAGTACATGAGAGATTTCAAGATAACACATATGCAATCTATGATTTCACCAGGATATCCCACTTTATAAAAAAAATACCCTCATAATAACTAATAAGCAAAATATCAAATTAATCTATTTTATATATACTCAATTAGATAAAGACTTCATCTTTATCCGAAATGCCTATTTATCATCGAATAATTTTAACTGTTGTTTCAGTCGGAAATTCTTCAATGAATAAAGTCTTACATAAAATTAATAATATCTCAAGAAAAATTAAATTAAATAAATTGATTATATTATCAATTAAAAAGAAATTAATTTTACGAAAATTATAACTTAACATCTCAAAAAGTTAGAAGAGTAAGCTTCAAACAAAAATAGACAATTATTTATATCTATACTATTATAAAAAACACAAAACTCCAATTCGTAAGAGATTCCATATTGTATAAATTGTACAATCACTAAAAACATTGCTATTTTATGTTATTTGACTTTATTAATTAAATAAAAATATTTTCTTATACGATGATGACATTAGGAATATAGTAAATATCCTCTAAAAGTTTTTCCTTCAATTTCTCAAGTATTTAATATAATAATTTTGTTAGAGCTAAACTAGTATCTATCTATATCTATATTTATATCTATATCTATATCTATATACTATATTAAAAGCACGAAGGCCCTTAGCGAAATGTCGTTCCCCCTTTTTACCCTTTAAAACATGATTTTACATCGGATAATCTTGTCATTTAGCGCTTCTCCAAATATTTAGGACATTAAAATCAAATAAAATTTAGTTTATTAAATTTTTCAAAATTTAAATTAGGCCTTTAAAATAAATTAAAAGATTTTATTATTCTAACAAAAAGAGAAATAGAAAACTTTAAAAACTTACCTAACGTTAATTAGGTAAACATGGAAACTTGAACAATTCTAATTTATTGCAACATAAATAACGACAAAATTGAATAGAGTTTCTTTAATTATGTCACGACCCTAAATTCCCTCCGTAGGATGTCGTGATGGCACCTAATCTCTATAAATAAATATGCAATTCACATAATTATAACTTCCAAAGCCCGGTAAAATAAGTCACAACCTTCTAAGAATTTATCCTCAATGTATCTCTATATCAAGGTCTAAAGAAAAATAACAAAGCAACATAATAAGAATAGAAGGGGACTCCGGAGTTTGCAGACGCTGGCAGATATACCTCGAAGTCTTCGTACACAGGTAGCTCACTGATGTCTGGACTGGTAGGATGTACCTGGATCTGCATAAAAAGATGTGCAGAAGCGTAGTATGAGTACACCACAATAGTACCCAGTAAGTATCAAGCCTAACCTCGGTAGAGTAGTGACAAGGTCAGGTCAGACCCTACTAGAAAATAATAATGGCATGGTAAAATATTTAACAATATAATAAAAATAAAATAAAAATAAAAATAAATCAAGTAGTATGTCACCGTTTAATTACACAAAATAATGGCAAATAATACCTCATGGAAACAAAACAAAATTCCTTTCAACTTTAAGAAAATCACAACAATAATCAAAGGCAACTGCGGCCATAAATCAATATCAACAAGGGCACTCCCGAGGTACCGCCTCGTAGTCCCAAATCATAAATAAATTCACAATATCTCATTTCCTTATATCACTGCGGGAGCCTTCACATTTAATTTTAAAGAAAATATTTTTTCCAAAATAGCATCCCGCGTTTTAGCCACCCTTATCACACCGCATGACTTCTAGGAGTTCCCCTACTAGCCACGCGTATCAAGCCACCCTTATCTCACCGTATGTGTTTCAACACCCAGACCTTATACTACCGCATGTATATCAATATCACAATATATCACAATTTGTACCTTAAGTGCCCAAATAATTCAACTTGCCAAAATAAATCAACAATAATATTTTTTCACAATAAAGAGCTCACGGCTCCATCACAATGAGTACGAAAATCTCACAAAATATTCAGCAAAAATAATATTTCACAAGTTTAACACCTTGTCTAAATATCAAATATTTAAATGTAAAATACTTCATTTTTAATAATATTTAAATTAAAAAAATTCCACCTTCAAATAATACACAGAATAAAAGAAATCAAATTTCAGCTAAAAATGTAAAAATAATTAGCAGGAGAAGGTCAAGCAAATTTAAAGTATATAAATTAGATCAATGAATGAAGAATATAATAAGATAAAATAATTTAATTAATATGCAGCAGTGACTTACACAATTTAAAAATATAATCTTTCACATTTAGCCCGTGTACACACTCGTCACCTCGTGTACACGACTTTCAACACATTACAATTATCATATCAATACAAATCCTAGGAGAAATTTCCCCCACACAAGGTTAGACAAGTCACTTACCTAGGCCTTTTCCTCGATTATCCAACTCTGAATGGCTTGAATCTAGCCAAAATAATTCGATACAATCAACAAAAATTATAGAAATCAATTTCATAAGAAAATATTATATTTTTTTTAATAAAATCCGAAATTAACTCAAAAATCGTCCGTGGGGCTCATGTCTCGGAATCCGGAAAAAGTTACGAAATATGAACGCCCATCCAACCACGAGTCTAACCATACTAAAATGACTAAAATCCGTCCTCAACTCGACCTCCAAATCTTCAAATCTTAATTTCAAATCCCTAAGTTCAAATCCCCGATTTACACCTCAAAACATGTAATCTAGTCGGATTATTCGATGATAATTCAATATTATGGAGTAGAATTGATCACAAGGGACTTACCTCAAGTTTCCCCGAGAATTCTCTCTGAAAAATCGCCTAAAACCGTGTTGAAAATGTCCAAAATGACAAAAATATCGGAACCCCTCTGTTTTGTAATCTGGTTAGTGCTTTTGCACCTGCGATGCACGTGACCGCATCTGCGCTTTTGTAGATGCGAAGACCTCCCTCGCTTCTGCGATCCCTTGTCCGCATATGCGGTCTCGCAGATGCGGTATTTTCCTTCGCACCTGTGGCCACTGCTCCACTCCTCCTTTTCCCCTCCCACGCTCGCTTCTGCGAGCTCGCACTTGCGAGCCAAATTCCGCAGGTGCGATTGCATCAGTAGGCAGCATCAAGTTTTAATTGTTCCAGGTCCAAATTTGATCTGTTAA